CCAGTCCCGGTCCGGTACGGGCGTGACACTGAGGGTTGCGATCCGTTGCCAGTCACGAAAATGACAAAAAGGAAAAAAAAAAAAAACTATTTCTAGTAGTTCTTAAGAAGAATTCACTCTCTAGATGTAGCCGTCCACTTGCATTTCGTCATCCTGCTGCGATGTCTACTGTTCATCAAAATACAAAGATTTTTCATTGGAGCATATCTGGGCAATTTTGGGCAACCACTAATCTGTCATTATTTATGTCTAGCCATGTATTGTGCCAGCTTATCTATATCCTAAATACATAAAAAAAAAAAGTACACAAGGCACAGAAACATACATGTATAAGAATTTTCAATTCAGTTTTGTTTAAGAAAGAGAAACATTGGAAATAACTTCTATGAGAAGATTGCCAGGACAAATTTGAAAAGGCAAAAAGGGAAGCCGAATCAAAATACACATAGTACATCCCCATTTATTTTAAATAAAAGAAAGAAGAAGAGCTACATGAATTTATGGAAATTTATAGCGAAGTTGTGTTGAGGGTATCCACCCAAATGCTTCCAGTGTTAAGTCCTGGGGAGAGGATGGGACTGGGACATCATCAAGGGGTCCAGGGGATGTGCCATCACTTTCATCAGTTATATTTTTATGAGAATGCATTTTTAGAAAATATTTATGTACACTTAAAGAGATTACATTTAAATCTGAAATGTATCCCTGCTAGATATGAGGAGGGTAGGGGAGTTTGTGATGAACTGGCCCCTCTGTGACAGTCCCCCTCTGGGCTCAAGGTCTGGCAGCAGCCCCTCCCTGCAGGGATTGTCCCTCATCTCTCAGGTAAAGAAACAGAAGGCTGAACTCATGGGATGGCGTCGGGCATGTGGAGTTGCTGGGCTGGGAAGGTGGGGACTGTCCAGAGCCTCCCAGGCCTTCCACTCAGCAACCGGGCCACTGGAATTAGCAAAGAAGAGCTCCTTCTCATGTCCCCTGCTTCAAAGCAACCACAAGCTTGTGGAGTCCCAGCACTGGAATGAGCCCTCATTCAAGGACTTCAGTGGGGGAGGACATGCCAGACTTTCTACTGAGTCAGCACCTGCCTGCAGATGGTGCCCAGGACAGTGAGGCCACCAGGATGGCTGCCTCAACTCCTTCCTGGCAGTGCTGGTGGCAGCTCTGGCTTCCTTCTCTTCAAAACTAGTTAAGAAGCTTGATTCCTTCGGGACCACCGTGTTGTGAGGAGGTCCAAGTGTATGGTGATCAACGCGCCCTGGTTTGCCCAGGATTTCCCTGGTTTTAGCACTGAGAAGCCCCATCCCAGAAATCCCTTCAGTCCTGGACAAACCCTACAAGTCTGCCCCACGGAGAGGCCCTAAGCAGAGTGAGAAAGGGGCCTGGCCAGCCCCCAGCTGTCTCAGCCATCCCATCTGAGGCACCAGATCTGTGAGTGGAGCAGCTGTGTGAGGTGAAGCATTGCTGCCCCAGCACACCACACACCACAGGGGAGGAAGAGCTGTCCTGCCCAGACAGCAGTCAGGTGGTTCACACAGAAAACCAGAAGACTGCAGCAGGGCCGGTCCTGCCGGCTTTCTCTGCTTGGCACGCAGATCTGAGCAGAGCCATTGCTCCCCCTTGTCTCAGCCACGTACCTTCTGCATTTGGGGATCACTTTGAAATAAGCAGTTTTCATTTTCTCCTGAAATTTTCTTGCACATTGTTCGGGCAATTTTGACTTCCATGTAGTACTCCAAACTATCTGTGACCTGTCAATGAGTAATTTAAAACTTAGATATCATCAAAGAACACATAGTATAATTGTCATCTCTGGTAAATAATCATGTCATTGACTGCTTAGGGCAAAGAATGCCTCCCTACCCTCCCCTCTCTCACAGTTTTCTTGCGAGAACTTTTTGGCTAATTTGGCAGGATTCTTAATATATCTTTCTCTGCCTCTCATCATGGTATTTAATTTTATTTATTTATTTATTTATTCATTCATTCATTCATTTTTGGCAGCTGGCTTGATAAGGGGATCTGAACCCGTGACCTTGGTGTCATAAGGCTGTGCTCTAACCAACTGAGCTAACCAGCCAGTCCTCGTGCTAACTTGTTTTAAAATGTCTCAACAGGGTCTAGTTTGCAGCACTAAGAAGGATAAGACATCAGTTTGAAAAGAGCCCCTATCAGAGCAACATAAATTCTGCTAATACTGAAGCAAGAACTTTATGAAGCAAGAAGTTTATGGTGAAGCTTGGGTGGAAGAATGATGAAGTCATTGATGCTTCACAAAAAGTGTCTGGGGACAATGCCCCAAAGAAATGAGCAGGTTACAAATGGATAACTCGATGTCAGAAAGGATGAGAGGATGTTTGAAGATGAAGCCCACAGCAGCAGACCATCCACAGCAATTTATGAGGAAAATATTCATCTCGTTTGTGCTCTCATTGAAAAGAGCTGACAATTACCAGCAGAAACAATAGCCAACACCATGGACTTCTTAACTTGTTCAGCTTACACAATTCTGACTAAAAAATTACAGTTGAGCAACCTTTCCACGTCATAGGTGCCAAAACTTTTGTACCCAGATCAGCGGCAGACTAGCACAGAGATCCCATTTTAAACAAGCGGGATCAAGACCCTGAAGCATTTCTTCAAAGAATCATAACAAGAGATGAATCAGGGCTTTACCAGTACAATCCTGAAGACAAAGCACAATCAAAGCCATGGCTACCAAGAATCGTAACAAGAGATGAATCAGGGCTTTACCAGTACAATACCGAAGACAAAGCACAATCAAAGCCATGGCTACCAAGAGGTGGAAGTGGTCCAGTCAAAGCAAAAGGGGACCAGTGGAGAGCAAAGGTCATGGCAGCAGTTTTTTGGGATGCTCAAGACATTTTCCATATTGACTTTCTGAAGAGCTAAAGAATGATAACATCTGCTTATTATGAGAATGTTTTGAAAAAGTTAGCCAAAGCTTTAGCAGAAAAACACCCAGAAGCTTCACCACAGAGGGGATCCTCAAGACATTTTGCATATTGACTTTCTGAAGAGCTAAAGAATGATAACATCTGCTTATTATGCGAATGTTTTGAAAAAGTTAGCCAAAGCTTTAGCAGAAAAACACCCAGAAGCTTCACCACAGAGTCCTTCTGCACCATGACAATGCCCCTGCTCACTCCTCTCATCAACAAGGGCAATTTTGCAAGAGTTTCAATGGGAAATCATTAGGCATCTGCCTTATTGCCCTGATTTGGCTCCTTCTGACTTCTTTTGTTTCCTAATCTTTTTTTTTTTTTCCCCCTTTTTGTCTTTTTTTTTTTTTACTGACCGGTAACGGGATCGCAACCCTCGGTGTTGTGCCCGCACCGCGCTCAGCCAGTGAGTGGGAACTGGTCTGTATGTGAGATCCAAACCCTCGGTGGGAGCGCCGTCATACTCCCAAGCGGCGCACTCTCCAGTGCGCCACCGGGCCAGCCCTTGTTTCCTAATCTTAAAAAATCTTTAAAGGGCACCCATTTTCCTTCAGTTNCATATTGACTTTCTGAAGAGCTAAAGAATGATAACATCTGCTTATTATGAGAATGTTTTGAAAAAGTTAGCCAAAGCTTTAGCAGAAAAACACCCAGAAGCTTCACCACAGAGTCCTTCTGCACCATGACAATGCCCCTGCTCACTCCTCTCATCAACAAGGGCAATTTTGCAAGAGTTTCAATGGGAAATCATTAGGCATCTGCCTTATTGTCCTGATTTGGCTCCTTCTGACTTCTTTTGTTTCCTAATTTTTTTTTTTTTTTCCCCCTTTTTGTCTTTTTTTTTTTTTTACTGACCGGTAACGGGATCGCAACCCTCGGTGTTGTGCCCGCACCGCGCTCAGCCAGTGAGTGGGAACCGGTCTCCACATGGGATCCAAACCCTCGGCGGGAGCGCCGTCACACTCCCAAGCGGCGCACTCTCCAGTGCACCACTGGGCCAGCCCTTGTTTCCTAATCTTAAAAAATCTTTAAAGGGCACCCATTTTCCTTCAGTTTGTAATGTAGAAAAGATTGCATTGATGTGGTTAAATTCCCAGGACCCTCAGTTCTTTAGGGATGACCTTTTGGCTACTATCATCACTTATGAAAGTGCCCTGAACTTGATGGAGCTTATGTTAAGTAATGATGTTTATACTTTTATTTTTATCATTTAATTCTATTTTTCCATGAACTCTTTCAAGTCTCTTTGTACACCCTGTAGGATCCCTAGGATGTAAACCCAGGAGAGATGGACAGCAAAGGCTGCAGGAAGATGGCACAGAGGAGGTGAGCTGGGAGGAAGAGGAGCAGGAAGATGAGTCTCTGTTGTGTGTCATTGGCATCACCACAAGCTGAGTCCTCAAACCCCAGCTGGACGGTCTAACCCCCTCCTTCAGTGCAGCCCACTGCGTCCTCCCTGAGACTCCCACCTAACCACAGCACCCTCACCTTTCTCAGGGAATTTAACACTGGCACAATGCTCTCTTCTCTTACACAGTTCATATTCAAATTCCCCCAATTGTCCTAATAACATTCTTTATAGTTATTTTTTTTTCTTTTAAATCCAAGAGATAACACAGGACCGCACACTGAGGAAGTTGTTGTTTCTTAAGTCTCCCTTAGTGGAGAGCAGTTTTCCAGATCTTTTTTCCCTGTCTATCATGATGCTGAAACTTTTATGTGGTCTTATACAGTGTCCGATAATATGGATTTGTCTAATTGTTCCTCATGACTACATTTGAGGTCTTGCATTCTGGCAAGAAGACTGTACACAGGTGCTGCCAGGCCCTGTGATGACAACTGTCCCAGTGCTGGTGATGAGCATTGGGTGAGGGAGTTGATCGTGACAACTAACAAGTAATCCCTGCAGTGATTTGTCCCAAACACTCTCTCACACAGTGGGTGTAGGATTCATTGATAATCTTTGCCTGAACTAGATATGACCATGGTGGTTGAAAAAGGTGCAACTAGAAAATGGCTTAATTTTCTAATTATGCCATTTCTTTTACATCTATGAGTTGGCATTTTCCTGTAAAGAGGAAGCTTCCTGCCTGCTTTGGTTCCTTTTTGTAGCATCATCTCAACGAATGTTAGGGAGGCTCAAACTGTCCCAAACTTAGCCCCTTCAAGTTGCCTTCTCAGCTCTTACTCCTACTTTTTGTTTATAACCAATTTTAAGTTATTTTAATGAACATTTTATGTTTCATCTCCATCTCGAAATAATAAAAGATGAAATATAATTATATTTATATATATATTAAAATTATATATAATTTTCCTTCAAAAACCCTAAAATAAAATTAATATATTTTGGCTAAAGGCATTTCTCAGCTGTGTTTTCCATTCCGAGTTTCAGTTGCCATCCAGGGATGATGGGCTCCACCCTGACCGAGGACAGGGAGTGACAGAGCAAGGAGCAAATTCTCCACCAACCTGCTCCTGGGCTTTCAGAATCTGCGCCACTTTGAAGTTGTACGTGTCATCACTGGCCTTGTTATACTCTTTCATGGCATACCAGAGTGCCTGCTGCACATAGACGTAGGTTTTGGGAATGTCCTGGAACTTCCGTACCACCTTGGGTGAACCCCAGGTTTGGACTGTCCTGGACGCAAGGGCCACAGTGGCTGCCAGAAGCAGCAGGGCCTGGCAGAGTCTGGCCATGGCGTCTGAGCCGAGGGGACACCGGCCACGTTCGTTCTGTCCTTCTGGGTGGGGCCCTGGCTGTGGGCTGGGCTGGTCCCGCTGCCTCTGCAGATGCACCCAGCTCTGTTTGACGCCACTGTGGTTTAAAAGGAAGGGACTTCTGTTAACATAGTTGTGATGTTATAAAATAAAATAAAATACATATTTGGTCTTCATCCCCCATTTCTGGCATAGAACATCCAATGCCCTTGGAATCTCCTGAGTGACAGGGATCTGAGAAGAGTGTCTTTTGTTATTTGTAGGGAGCCCTTTTCCTGAGTTTCTGCTGAGGAGGTGACTCTTGATGGGCCCTTTGATAGCCTCAAGATGGGGGCTGGT